CAAGCCTTATTACCTCATTAAATTTTTGTTTTTTAACCAATCATTACAATTTACATTGTGAGCGACTTTTATTTGTAATCTCTAACCTCTACCGACCACTGTCTGCAACGAGTTTCAGATGGCAGCTATTTTTTATTATTTTTATAGGTTTGTTACAACATAAAACCGGACTTCGGGCGAATTCTGGCGCTATAGTGAGAGTGACAGGCGACAGCGCTTATGTATAAGTCTATTGCACCGCTAGGTATCGCTGTAGTATACGATTCAGTTATTGTAAATTATGATATTCTTTTCTTATTTAACAGTTTGTTATTCAGCAATTGCTATTGCTTAGTTACCAATATCATAACAATTCGTAACTCATAAGCTACTTTTTTAGTTTTATTATTGATTGATTCAATGCTCATAAATGTTAGTTTATTTTTTGGTATTTACTTAATAATAAATATAATTGTATTGGAATATTTTTTATAATTTATAGTAAATTAATAAATAATAATAATAAAAAGTTATGGTAAATTATTTGTTTTTATTTTTATGATATTCATCAAATTATTTTGCTGCAATTATTTGTAATACTGTATTATTATAGGAAGGAGATATTTCAGTAAATGAACACCATCGAAATGTCATTGATAGCTATGTAGAATTTATGGGTCACCAAAAAAAACAATCTATTATATTAATTAAAAAAGCGTTTGAAGAAGTCTTCAAAACAAAGTATATTATATATTATATTATTACAGCATTATAGTTATAAAACATATTATATTTTATTATAATAAAAATAAAAATTTCATTATTATTTAGTTTATTAGATGAAACATACACAAAAGAAGAAGTTAAGAATATATTAAACAGTTTAGAAAGAACAATAACAAATGAAATAAAGGGTGAATTATCTGCATATACAAACACCAATCTCCTAATGATGTATCAATTTTTTCAACAAGCTGAAAAATGGCATTTAAGGCTCAATGTAGATATATCTGAAATGCAAAACAAGTAAGTGGATATAATTTATACTTTTATCTTACTTATTTATAGGCTTTCATAGTATTTTGCATAAACAGAGAATTGTTACAAGCGATGGAAAAAATAGAAATTAGTAATAATATAATGAACCGAACATTGGAAAAAAAGAAGCTTTTAAATACTTCTGATTACATTACTAATGATTTTGCTGAAGTGTTGCAAAAAAGATTAAATCAACTAGAATCACACAATTCCAAATTGGAAGCAGATTTGAAAACTTTAGAAGACAACGTAAAAGCAATGAAAATATTTTTTTTAATGTATAGAATTTAAGAATAAACCAAAAGTTTTTTAAGTTTACAAACATATTTCAGTGTAATAAATTGAAAAATGAAAAAGAAGCTTTGAAATTACGAATCGAAATAGAAGACAAACAAGAAGACCCACAAAAAAATTTAGTTGAAATTGAAGTACAGACTCAAAATACATTTGATGTAGGTATATCCAAAAAAAAAAAATGTCATGCTTTGGAATGTTGACCAATTATAGTTAATTCATAATCATAATTGTACATTTAGGATAATTCTATCAATCATGATGAATGTAAAACAACAGCAAATCAATTAAGAAATGAATTAATGATTGCTCAATCACAATTAACATTAACAAATTTGGTAAGTCGATAATCTATATACAGTGGCGCCAATAATAGCGTACCTATATAGAAATAATTTTTGGGGTGGGCTATAAATCTATAATATATAGCGAATTAGCGACTAACAATTATCTAGCACCTAGAAAGGGCGGTGGTAAACTCTCCCGATTGTATGGTAAACTCTCCCGATTTTTAAAACTAGTAAACACCCCCGGGTCAATATTATGTTTACCTGAAAGAAATGTGCAAACTCTCCCGAGTTATTTTAAATGTTATTGCTACCCTATGAATTAGTTACACTGCAGAGATTTATATTATGAATTGTATTTCCGTATTTAATCTGTATTTATCTTGTGTTAACCTGTATTTGTCATTTAAATATTTAATTACTATTAAAGTATTTTTAATTTAAATATTCAAAACGATATCGACTATAATGGCTCAACCAATTCTAACTGTGTAAAACGAATAATACCCCATGCTCCCCAGCTAGCTTAGTAGTACTGAAGTAAACCCGGGAGAGTTTAAATGTTCCCGTCAGGTAGTATTGGACTAAATCCGGGAGAGTTTACATGCCATTAAAATCGGTAGAGTTTATAATCGCCCCCTAGAGACTACAATATAGTTAACAGTTAATACTGTAATTTCGGGAGGGGCTGCAGCCCACTAGCCCCCCCCCCCACAAATATACGCCACTGGGCGCCAAGCTCTAAAAACAGTACTATTGTCAAATTTATTTTCAGAAAGTACCACACACCAAAAATATTCAAACCAAGGTTATTATTATATTATTATAATACTTTATGATACTATCTACGTTATGTATAGGCCACCTTAAGGACCTTATGACTTTTTTGTGGGCTAAGCTAAGAGGATAGGACTAAATGAAATAGGATAAATAATAAATAATAGGATAAATAATAATAATAATAATAATAATAGATAAATAATAGGACCACCGACCCCATTTAAGCTATCGTTTTAACAACACGTGTAAGGGGGGTTTGCAGCCACTATCTATGTACTTTAAATATAAGCAACACATTTATATATTAGTATCTTTATATACCTAATGATTAATCGTTAATTATTTTAACTATCTAATTGTATTGACTATTGAGATAACAATATTATTTAACTTTATGAGACAAACTGACAATATTAAAAATAAATAAATACAATATGGTAAATTAATCAAATAAATAAGTTTCTTATGTTTATCATAATTGATCGTTATTCATCTTTTTAATACCTAGGTACTATACATTTGATAATTAATCACTTAATTATCTCCAAATGGTGGTTTGGAAATTATAATATGCTAATTTAGATAATATTTTAAGGAATTGGACAGAAAATTTAATGATACTGCTGCATACATTAATATGAAGAATATAATAACCAAAAAAAACGAACAAGTTCGAGAGCTAAGAGATCGGTTGCTTATTTACGAGAAAGAAGATGACAACCAAGATAATGTTGTATGATCGAAATTACAATTAGCTTATAACGTAGGCTATAGTAAATAATTTAAAGAAATTTATTTAAAAATGTTCAATTACATAGTACTGCAGTAAACTCATTATTTTGTTGGCCCAGTGGCGTGCGATCAGATCAAGCGGTGATAGGGCAAAACCMGGCAGAAGTATATCAAAGAAGAATTATTGTACCATAAGACAATAGTTAAAGACATAAGGTGCCTATATAATAGTTGTTTTAACATGTAATATTGACATAAAAATGTGTTTTAATAAAAATAAAAAATATATATTTATTAAAAAACGAACTAATATTTTGTTGAGTTTTTATATGTACACATTTGAAAATTTTGATTTCTTTGTTTATGTTTCGTTAAATTTTGATACAAAATTTATCGCTTGGTCAAAAACATTGAAAATGTAATGAAAAATTCTTCATAAGTTGTTCATATTATATATACCATCAAAAAATAAGTACACAATATTATATTATTATTTATTATTCATACCATAATATATATTACATATTAAGAGGTGCTCATTTGTAAGATTATAATTATTGTTATAATGATTTTTCTCAAGAATATTTATTTTATGTATATTGTATACACTATACTGTCATATTAAATCTTTCAATACCTAGCCAAGTAGCCAAATTAATGATATGGCAACACCAACATGTTGCACGTAAATATGTTCTGGATTGTATTTTATACTTTGGGTTTTTTTTGGAGGGGGTGGGTAGGCGRTAAGGTCTTTGTTAAATTTAAGTGTTCTCAATCGTTAGACCAAATAGGTATATAACGTTCTTAATCGTTTTACTTTAAACAGCCCAAAAAATTTAAAAAAAAATATATTATTTATTACTTATTAGGTTAATATATAAATAATTATTAATTATACATTGATCATTATTTTAAAATTACTTATATAATAAATTATTATATTAAAATTAGTTTGTAAAAAGCTAACAAAAAAAATTATATTATTTATCATTATGAAAACTAGGTACCTATAAAAGTATATGCAATTTACCATTATCATTACTATTTCTTTTCTGTAAAATAAATAATTTTTCCTAATATCGAACAAAGAAGCCGACATCGCATATATAATATGAACAATGATTACAGTATAATCAGAACATGTACCCTAGGCTCCTAGCCCAGTGGTTCTTAACCTTTTGTAGAACACTGCCCTCCAAAGAATATTTCTAAAAATCGCGGACCCCCTACCAATTTTTTGTCGAATACCTTTTTTTTACAAAACATTTCAGTAGACTGTAAGTGCTGTGCACCTGTATGGCTGTATCAACAATTCGTATGATGTATGAACAATGAACAAGAAAAACTGATAAATAAATATTACTAATATTAGTACCTAATAAAATAATTAAGTTTAGATACTTAATTGTATCGAATTCCTTAGATAGGTTTATTTCTTACAATCTCAGATAGGTATATTTTTTATAAAAAAAACGATAGTCTAAAAATATTGTAATAATGTATAATAATTTCTGGCTTCTGCACGTATCAGCTTATGCCTTATGTTAGGTGTGAAGGGCCTATCCGGTTAAGTCCTAAACACCTTCACGTCACACACACACACACTACAGTACACTATTATAATTTTTGCTCTTTTTAAATTTGTTCATATTTTGGAAATTGTCTACAAACATTAAATTGGTATTGTCGTCTGTCGACATATTGATCCTGAAAGGCCGCATGCCACAATGTAGAAAAACTTATTCCACATGTTGCTGTATTTGTTGGTTGAGAGGGCGATACACACATATTTGTTGTCTCCGTCTTACAAGTGAGTAACTTAGCAAATTTACGCTTAGATCAAGTTTAATTCCGTTAGTTTAAAAATTAGAATAAATTGACCTATTGTGAAACTTGATGGTAAGAACATATTATCTGGGTTTGATTGCCAGTTTTTGTGAGTTAAGAGCATTTTTAATTTACGCTTTTTATACACCTACGCATAACTATACAGCTACAAAATTGAACTATCGTAAGAAATCCACGTATAAACACAGATAATGTTCTTAATATCAAGTTTCATAATAGGCCGGATTCACTCTAGTTTTTAAACTAACGAAGCTAAACGTGATCTATACTGAATACTGATTGTAAATTTTCTATGTTGCTTGTAAGTTTTTTTACGATAATTCAGTTTTTAAGTGAGTTATGAGTATTTATATTCTATAATTTACTATACGCGCATAATTCACTTAAAAACGGAATTATCAAAAATAAACTTTCAACCAAACACAAATAATGTTCTTACCATCAAGTTTCATAATAGGTCTATGTCTATCCACTATTTTTTAAGCCAACGGGATAAAACGTAAACGGCTGAGCGCAAATTTGCTATGTTACACGCTTGTAAGACTGAGACAACAAATACGAGTGTTGCGTCCTCTTAAATGCATTTTTTTTCACATTTTGTGTTAGAAACAACCTACCTAATCATTATTAATCAAACAACATTTAATTTTAAATTAAAATTATACTTTCCTAAACCACTTACTATAATTTAGTTTATAGTTATTTTATAAAAATGTTATGCTTACTATGGTAGTATGGTTTGCAGGTTAATGAGATAATTAACACGCGACGGCCACAAATTAGGTAAGTCCTAAACATTAGGTATTTACGATGCTCCAACTGATATCCTTTTTTTAACTGATAATTGAATTTGAATATTACTAATTAATACAGAAAACACTAACAAGGACTACATATATTGATAATTTCATAGCACTTAGGTTTTAGGTACCAGTTTAATTTTTTTTTTTTTTAATTCAGGTTCAGTAGAATAACTATAGGGCATCAAAGATTTTTAAAATATGTAAATTTATAATATGTCACGCCCGTTAAAGTCAGATTTAAATGTTATTAATGTTATGTTAAACTGTTTTTTTTTACCGCATGGACATTTTTCAACAACATAGTACACAAATAAAAATAAAATAAAAACTGCCAATGAAAACGTAAATACTCATAATTGACAACGTTTTAAGACTTTTACAGATAATGAATAATAAAAATCTGAAAACGTCGAGTCCATTGAACCATCCATCCACTCAACACCAGCAGAGCTCGACCCTATCAATTTGAGGGTTGTTGGATTTGAAGTTCAGAGATCCGTTGAAATGAATTAAAAATGTTGATGAAAATGCTTAATTGTATGGCCTCCAAAAATATTTAGAGCAGGGGTTTGAAATTCTTGGAGGTAAAGCACTCTGACACCAACTGCGGCGTCGAGACAGCTCCGAGTCGAAACTATCTGGTAGGACCGAACCGCGCGCGAAGTACGAATTTAAACAGCTCCGTCCAGTATGTGAGAAGATCAAATGAGATTCAAGACTAGCTGCAGGAAAGGACCTATGAGGCAACAGTTCTTTTCTCAGCAAAATATACCCCCTCAAAATAAACGACTACATTTTTTTTATTCGAAAAAAATATATTAAATAGGTAATCAATAATAAAATTATACTTAATAATAATTTGTACTTTGTATGTAAGCTAAATTGGAACATATAATATATACTAGCCGCCACTTAGAAGGGCTCAAGAATAATTCTCTAGGAATGGAATACGGATTATATATTTTCACAAAGGCTTAAGTCCCCCAAAGTGGCAAAGCCCCAACCCAATTTTTCTAAAAATTATACATGTTAATTCTAACTTTTGAATTGGAGGAACTTTGTTGAAATTTGGGGTATTAGGTCCTCAAGCACCTATCCCTCCTATTTGTGAATATCTTTTATAGGTACATTAAACACATACACCAACGCAATTTAAGATATAAAAATACCTACCTTTTATGATTTAATCAATGACTAAACTTTATTTAGAACATTGATTAAATAAATACTGGGGGACAAGGTGGCCGAGCGGTCTAACGCGTCGGCTGTGGCTCAGCCGGATCGGGTTCGATCTTCGACCATCGGGTGACATTTTTCTCAGGGCAAGTCACAGTGTCCGGAGAACAAGTGCCGCCATCTCCCACTTTGGGGCATGGCAGAAACCTACGGGTGCCCCAATAAAAATTTTGCCAAAAACTCACCCACGTGTAATACACCTTACCGTTCCATAAAACCTACAGTACCATCCCCTTCCCAATGGCCTAAGTTGCCACGGGATAATTAATAAAAAAAAAAAAATAATAAATAAATACTATAGATATTATTTGTAATTTGTAAATACTTATAATATATTTAAATTGGCTTTTTTTGACATCTTAAAATTTACTTAGACTTGGACACACACCAACATTTATTATAAGTTGAATAACAATTTAATAATAATTTTTTGTATCTAAAAACTATTTGTATATCACAGTATCTTACAATTGCATTAATGATAACAATATAATTAATTATTAACATACATAAGATGTGGTAAGATAAGACTTGATATTTAGTGTATATTTTTTGAAAAAAATGTAATATAGTTATATTGCTTTGTTTTAAACATTTTTTTTTGTTCATTAACATTTCTAAATAACCTGATGAGCAATATTTCCACAATAATTCTTAATCGCGTATAAATGATGTAATTATTTGTGTCTTAGAAGTATAAACTTTTTTAATATTTACCTTTTCGATGTGTTAATCGATAATTTATCAATTAAATTAGTTAAGTAAAGTCAAAATGGTATATATTTATAATCAAATTTAAAATTATCAGTCTTGTTAAATCATATAAATTTATCCAATCTCTATGGAATGTGGACTGAAACAATCATAGACTTAATTATTATCTGATTCTTTTTTAAGTTTCAAATAAATTTAAAACATTTTTGTTTGTCGTGTGGTATTCTAGTTTTAAAAAGAATAGAATCAACTCGAAATTGTGTATTTAGAAGAGGTGTATACCCAAATATCTAAAACATAAAAATATTTAATATTATAAAATGTTAAAAAATTTACTGGCATTATATTTTAAATTTTATAAACAAAAATTTTACCTTTGTAAAAAAGTTGATACATTTATGGCGTTCTAAAAAATGTGTTTCATCTTCAGACAGTGAAACAGGGCATCCTGGACAGCGAAAAGTCCATCTAGATGTTACCTGAAGTTGAAATTATGTACATATTATTGTCATGTTAAAAATATAATTAATCACATAACTACCTTCACAGGTGGTTTGTTGGTA